GAGACTTGGTAGACAGCTCAGTTGGTTAGAGCATCGGCACCGATCGCTTAGGTCGTGGGTTCAAACTCCACCTGGTATTAGTTGATTTTTCGAATTTCTCATTAAATGTTTAGACATTTATTAATTTGTTTGGCCTTTCTATGGCTATGTTAACTCAAGCTCAAAATGTGCCTACTCTGTTAAGTTGTTCTAAAATCTAAAGTAACGTTTAATAAATAACAATAGGCTAATAGGTAATTGCGAGACTTGCGAGACTCTTGCTGCAAGACCAAGACCAAGAACAAGACTGAGAGTGCAATACCAAGACCAAGAACAAGACCAGGTGTATTGGCGCAAGACCAAGACCAAGACTCGCTAAGTCTCGTCTTGTTCTTGCATTTGGGCAACACTAGTTGCAACGTTTCACGACAGGACGAAGTTTTTGGGCCTCTGTCAAATTATGAGGTATCCACCGAGCAAGAAACTGACCTGACCGCTTAACGTTCATGGAGGATTTTGTGCACTTGACTAATACCGATGCCTAAGCTTGTCCAAATCAGCTGATAAGTCACTCTTTTATCAGTCTCTATAATACGCCGCACAACACTGATGTTATCTTCAGTGGTCGCCGTAGAAGGCCGTCCCCCACGCAGATCATCGGTGAGATTAGTGCGATCACGTTTAAACTCATTAAACCAGTTGTAAACCATTGCACAAGATGGGGCTTCTTCATGAAAGGCCAATCGAAATCTATCATAACTTTCTTGTTGACTTAAATGACATCCAATGTCATAAAAAATCATTTCGCGTTAATATCATGCTGACGTGACACAGAAAATTTTTCAATTTGCCGCCAAATCGTAAGCAATTGACAAATTAATAAAATACATACACAATAATATGGACAAAGAGTTCCATTTTCAAAATTTGAACTTACTTTTTTATTATGTCGTTTACAAGTGGCCAGTTCTAAAAACTTTCAGTGTCGCCCTCGTACCACAATTAGCTGGCAGGTTGGCAACTGCAGCTTTCATTATTTAGAGTCGTTATCAGGAGTATTATAAGGAAAAGGAAAAGATGCTGTCGCCCATATCATGGTTCAGTTCCCTGTCGCCAACAGGAAGATGTGGGGCAGTGGATAGTCTTACAACATCACTACAAGGTTGCTGGACCAGATGCATAACAAAAACAAAATTATGCTAAAAACCACGCAAAAAAAACGGAATCACATTGTCATCAGCGGTGAGTACAAAAATTATATTATCAAGGTAATTTTATACGAGGTAGTGTCATCATACTTACGAGTTTTTACATTTATTATAACACTGCCATTATAATACGATAATACTGTATTTAGTAAATGTACGTGTAAGTACTGTTTTGGATGACTGATTGTAATTATACACAAGAACAAAAATGATTTTATTAAAAACAGTAATGTGCGTTCTGTAAATACTGGGAACAAGCACATGCTAGCTATACTACTTACTGTACTCCTAAGTGACAGAAATTTCAATGGGCCATAGTATGCTTTTGGAAAAAAGTCCCAGAAAATATACAGAACTTATCTATAAAATAATTAATAATTTTTATAAGCAAGGGTTGTTGTAGTACTTAAAAGTACATGTTTGATAATAACCCCCCTATGAGCTTATCCACTACCATCCTGTTTCTAAATAATTTCATACTTAATTGTACAACATATTACGTTAAACGTTATGTGAAATAAGAATAGAAGGGGAGTTGATTGAGCAAGTGGATGATTTCGTGTATTTTGGATGTGTATTTAGCAGGGATGGTAGATATGATAAGGATATAGAACGACGAGTGGATGCAGGAAATAGAGTGAATGAGGCTCTACGCTCTATTATGAAGAATAAGAATGTGTCAAAAAAGGCACGTATGGTAATTCATAATGCTGTGTTAATCCCTACTATGTATGGTAGTGAAAGTTGGGTGCGGCAGAAGAAGCACGAAAGTAGAATAAATGCTGTAGAAATATGGTCTTTAAGGAGTATGCTAGGGATGAATATCAATGACAGGGTGAGAAATTGCGTGATAAGAGAAAAATGTAATGTGCAAGGTTTAAGGCGACAGTAGCCTAATGGCAGGGCGCGGGCCGCGAACTCAAAAGGTCGTGGGTTCGAATCCACCATTCGACTACTGTCGTGAACCCCTCCTAACACAAACATTTTTCAGCTTACCAGGAGGGGTTAAAGGGAATATTAGTAATGTTAATTAATAGGATTACTAATATTTAATAACAAAAGGTGATGTTGTGACCAGGATTGTGAAAGGAATGCTTCGGTGTTTTGGTCATGTAGAAAGAATGAACGAGGGAAGAGTGACAAAGCAAATTTATACTGCAGATGTGAACGGCAGAGTCGGGAAGAGTTTAGGGAGTACGGGGAGACATTAGGAGTACCTTTAAGCGACGAGCGTGTAGGCGTAGATGTATGGATGTAGAGGAGGCGAGAAAGGTGTATCAGGATCGTGCCAAATGGAAGTCCGTAGTCTCTGCCTACCCATCTGGGTGACAGGCGTGAGTGTTTATATATTTTAATAACAGTAGTTTATATATTATAATAGTAGTTTATTAGTATAGTTTCTTATGTAAATGAAACATAAGAGTGATATTTAATTATTAGTTATAATCTATATTAAATAAAAAAGTTTATTTTCTTTTTGGGCCCGAAGTTAATAATACTTACTTTAATAAAATTGCTATATTTTTGACGTAAAACAACAAGCTGATGCACAATACAGTGTTAAATCATAATTTTGTTTTAAAAAAAGAGTTTTGCATGATTTTTTTACTGTGAAACGGCTCGTAAAGGAAAGTGAAGCGTTCCTTAGATATAGAAGCCTGGCGTTACTCTTCACTAGCGAGCATTGCAATCCGTTAATTAACCTTGACGGGATGACAAAACAGACTGACGATTGACTGATGGTGAAAACTATCCAAAATATGTTGAACCTGATAATATTGTTTTAAAAAATATAATTGTGTACATGATATACATTTCACATTTTATTATTGTTTATATAAGTTATAAATTAAATTGTATATTTTAATTCATATAGTATTTTTTAAAAGTCAATCAAATCAAATAAAATGAAATCATTTATTTGCAATCCAAGTGCACATAATCGGTCTGTGCTTACAACTTAGACGCCTTTTTCAGGCGCTGCAAATTTGACGAAAACACTGCTTATATAACTACATAAAATATACTTAGAAACTACATAAATTTAAAATACATAATAGTATATTTTTTATCTAAATGCTCCTCAATTGAGTAGAAGGGGTTTTGTTTTAAATATGTACTGTGACTTGATTGAAATTTGGTTAATTCTGATACGTTTTTTTTTATTTCCTGTGATTATTTATTATAAACTTTTATTGCCATATAGCAGGGGCTCGTATTTAACGTTTTTGTACGCGACTATGGTAGGTATAATTTATTTTTGTTACGTGTATTTATGTCACGTGTATCTTTAATCTTCTTTAAAATATTAATATTTTTGTGGACAAACAGACATACATCATAAATGTACATACAGGGTAAGGTAAGAATATTTAGTTTTTTGAAATACGGTCTACAGCTAGCAGTGTTATCTATCTGGGCTGGTATTCTAACGCACTTCTTCTGGGTCTGAGTAATAAATAGCTGCTGCACATCGACGCTACTTCCCCACAACATATCTCCGTACTTAAGCCACGAATGAACATAGACGTAGTAAGCTGACAATGCCGTGGCTGTGTCAGTGGTGGATTTCATTTGAAAATTGATTTTTGAATCTACTTTCAAATCTAAGAGATTAAAAGTGTCAACGTTTTCTAATTGTTAAAGTTAATGGATTGCTTGTGTATGTTTTAAATTGCATAATTTTAGTCCTTTCAAAGTAATTTCTAAGTTGTGATATTCGAGCCAATTTGTTATAGTTTGTAGAATGATGTAGACAATATATATAATTTGTGTTTTTATCGCAGTTTACTAACACTGACACATCGTCGGCAAAGAGTACGCTTAATGTGTTTTCATTATTTATTATCTTAGGTAAATCGTTTATTTATATTAAAAACAATAGACATCCTAAGACACTGCCTTGAGGGATTGAACATGTGAGGGCCCGGGTTTGATACTGTACTACAATGATCCCGTTTTTCATCGTTGCCGTGTTCGATTTGAACTATCTGCTTCCTGTTTGGCAGATATAATTGGAACCGTTTATAGGCCGTTCCACACTTTTGTCCAAACTTTCTTGCTGGTTTTTATCTGAAATTGTCTTGTTTTTGTGAGCCGGTGTATATATTGATGTTCATAAAAGCTTAAATTGAATAGAAAGTTTTTATTTTGTTTTTGATAATGTTTTGATATGTGTATATCAATAATATATAATGTCAGGTTTGATGTTTTAATTCAGGAAATCGTGGACTATAATGAATCTAATGTCCGGATGTAACGTAAAGCCATTGGCTATACCAATGGCTTTACGTGCTGACCTCTGCTGATTTTTCTCCGATCGTTTCGAATAACCGTCCCATCGGACAACGAGGGTGAGGGATTAGAGAGTGTACTTGTGCTTGCGCATACACTCGGGTACTGTAATGCTGTCCCAATCAGATGGCTCATCTCCGTTGAGACCGGCCGCCGTGACAATACTTTATACGTGGTAGAGCCACGCTGCAGCTATAATATATAGCTGTATGGTTGTAGCACGAATGGGTCGTTTTAACCGGGTAGAACCACACTTTCACAAAATACCATCATAAATTAGCAGATTAATGCTGTTGGGTTTCGTACGGTGAGTGTAGAGAACCGGAGACTCTTTTTAACTGGAAACGAAGCATTCCTTCTTAATCCTCAAGGGTGACAACGCATCTACATTTTGATTCTTAATTGTGAAGAAATGTAGATGTCTATGGGCCACAGCATTCACTTACCATCAGGTGGACTGCGTGCTCGTTTATCCCCTTATTAAAAAAAAGAAATAATTTTTCGAGCAGCCTAAGTTACCTCGGCAACAATGGTATTATTAGAAGCATAGAGCCAATGATCACAGGCGCGCAGCTCTTCGGTGAATGCACCATCTTGGCACGGAAGCTGATCGTCCAGGGGCGCGCGGCTGTAGCATCGTTTCTCTTGTTCCCCAGTCGGCAGAGCGCCTGCCAGCCACGAGGGATTGTACTCCGTGCTGTTAGCAGCCTCGCACTCCGGCACCACGCATCTGTAAGATGATATTTTGTCAGTCATACGTATAAAACATCGAAGTAATACAGTTTCCATACGTGGTAAAGCCTCTCTACAGTTTGATCACAGCTGGCACCAATATTTTATTTTAATTGCAGTTTAGTATGCTGATAAACCAAGTGGTCGGACCAGACACTGGAATCGTGGCGGACTATTTCTTTATAACCCTCTCGAAATAGAGAGGGGGCCTGTATCCAGTAGTGGGATTTATATAAGCTGGAATATTATATTACCTTCTTACATATTATAAAAATCCTACTTTTGGGCGCTGGCCTTCTGTAATCAAGTTTACACTTCAGTGCTTTGTAGACATTAGATTATATCATCAAAATACTTTTGAATTCTCAGTATTGCATGTTATCACGATGTTTGAATACAATTTTTAACTTAATTAAAGAGGCAGTTGCTTGCCACAGAGCACATAGTATGCGAGCAACTTGAGTTCGACCTGCAACAGACATGGTGTGAGGCACTCCATTTTAGTCCTTAGATGGGACAATGCTGCAATCTGTGGCCGTTTTTATCTGAAGTCCATTGCAGGTGTCCATGGGCTGCAGTAGCCACTCACCAGCAGGTGGAGCGTAAGTTCAATTGATATTATTTGAATACTCGTGAGTTTTGCCGCCTACTCCTACAGGATAACAGCGCTGCAACAACATTTCTACAGTATGATCCTGAGGCCGTGGATATTCTCTGACTATCTCAATGGTCTAGTAGTGTAAATGATATTGGCTTTCTCGGAAAGCACGTAAAGCCGCTGGTCCTGCGCCAGATCTCTCTCCGGTTGTGTCGCAATTACCATCCCATCGATCTATGAGAGAAAGGGAATAGAGAACCACTTATGCTTGTGCATAGACTTTAACACTGTCTTGCGCAGACGGCTGGTCTCCGTTGAGACTGGTCGTCGTGACCGGAATTTGGTCTGGAGGACGTTATTCATTGCTGCTACCCAATAAATCGTTTAGTTTTATATAAAAGTCTTAAACAGGGTGGGGTTGTAGACGTTGCTATTCATTAAACATATTATTCCTTATTATATTATAAGAGTCGTATTAGCTCCGGGGCTTAGCGATCGCTGTAAATCCCTACCGGCACCAATGAAATTTTTAATTGCAATTTTAAGTCTCTAAGATTTACCACGTGCTCTGTGGTGAAGGAACACATCGTGAAGAAACCTGCTCGTTTGAGAAATAAGAAAAAAATTTTTGCAAAGATATGTGAAGTTCGTCAACACGCATTGGGGCAGCGCGGCGGACACTTCCTTTTATTAAAACATTCTCAGAAATGAGAGGAGGCCTGTGCAAAGTAGTGGGACATATATAGGCCATAACTATGACGTTTTTAAACTTATCATTCTCTCATATTATGAAATATTTTAAATGAAATAATTTTCTATCGGAGAGGGGGCAAACGACTATGCGACTCACCTGATGGTAAGTGACTATCATACCCATGAACAACAAAGGAATTGTAGATGCGTTGCCGGCCTTTTAAAAAGGAATAGGCTTTTTTTTTTAAGTCGTATCGGTCCGGAAAAATCTCTGGCGACAGTATATAAATAACGATGCAGAAAAACAATAAAAAAAGTAAGTAAAGTATCGAAACCTTGCGATCTGAGGTGAGTGTTGTGCTTAGGCACATACGGCTTTGTTTAATTTGTTGCAAATACATGCGACCTTGAATTTATCTTTACTTTGACCAAAGTTTATGACCAATAAATTGGATGTCGTAGTATTTTATGTTATTCCAGTTCTTCTACACAGTGTATGCCGCATTTTAGAATTTACAATCTATTGGTATATATTATTAATATTTTGTTGTACCTATTTTTTACAGAAGAGGAGGCAAACAAGCACACGGCTCACCTGATGGTAAGTGATTACCGCCCATGAACAACTGCAACACCAAGGGAATTAATTGCATTGCCATAAATTATCGTAACTACGTCTAAATTATCTACGGATATCTACAGGAGGACTAGTGACCTAAGATACAAGTTTTACCTCGTTTGGACACCAGATTTTCACCTACTTCTCAATAATATTATTTCAGATGTAAGCATTTATTATTTTTGATCTCTTTAATGTATATTGTTTATAGAAAACATATTTAAAAAATGTGAATCGATACTGGAGGAACCCTAACGTCGATGCTCGCTTAAAACAATTAGGCGACAAAAGCCGTACGAAACACAGCAGCATCAAATTTCTATTTTATAATGATAATCTGTGAGAGTGTGGTCCTTCTTTGGTCAAGCCGACCTATTCGTGTTACAACCATAAGACACCTGCAGCTTGGCTCTACAATACACCTGCAGCGTCGCTCTACAATACACCTGCAGCGTGGCTCTACAATACACCTGCGTCGTGGCTCTACTGTACTCCTGCAGCGTGGCTCTACTGTACACCTGCAGGGTGGCTCTACTGTACACCTGCAGCGTGGCTCTACTGTACACCTGCAGCGTGGCTCTACTGTACACCTGCAGCGTGGCTCTACTGTACACCTGCAGGGTGGCTCTACTGTACACCTGCAGCGTGGCTCTACTGTACACCTGCAGCGTGGCTCTACTGTACACCTGCAGGGTGGCTCTACTGTACACCTGCAGCGTGGCTCTACTGTACACCTGCAGCGTGGCTCTACTGTACACCTGCAGCGTGGCTCTACTGTACACCTGCAGCGTGGCTCTACTGTACACCTGCAGGGTGGCTCTACTGTACACCTGCAGCGTGGCTCTACTGTACACCTGCAGGGTGGCTCTACTGTACACCTGCAGCGTGGCTCTACTGTACACCTGCAGCGTGGCTCTACTGTACACCTGCAGCGTGGCTCTACTGTACACCTGCAGCGTGGCTCTACTGTACACCTGCAGCGTGGCTCTACTGTACACCTGCAGCGTGGCTCTACTGCACTGCAGCGACTGTACACCTGCAGCGTGGCTCTACTGTACACCTGCAGCGTGGCTCTACTGTACACCTGCAGGGTGGCTCTACTGTACACCTGCAGCGTGGCTCTACTGTACACCTGCAGCGTGGCTCTACTGTACACCTGCAGCGTGGCTCTACTGTACACCTGCAGGCGTGGCTCTACTGTACACCTGCGGCGTGGCTCTACTGTACACCTGCAGCGTGGCTCTACTGTACACCTGCAGGGTGGCTCTACTGTACACCTGCAGGGTGGCTCTACTGTACACCTGCAGCGTGGCTCTACTGTACACCTGCAGGGTGGCTCTACTGTACACCTGCAGCGTGGCTCTACTGTACACCTGCAGGGTGGCTCTACTGTACACCTGCAGGGTGGCTCTACTGTACACCTGCAGCGTGGCTCTACTGTACACCTGCAGGGTGGCTCTACTATACACCTGCAGCGTGGCTCTACTATACACCTGCAGGGTGGCTCTACTGTACACCTGCAGGGTGGCTCTACTGTACACCTGCAGCGTGGCTCTACTGTACACCTGCAGGGTGGCTCTACTGTACACCTGCAGCGTGGCTCTACTGTACACCTGCAGGGTGGCTCTACTGTACACCTGCAGCGTGGCTCTACTGTACACCTGCAGGGTGGCTCTACTGTACACCTGCAGCGTGGCTCTACTGTACACCTGCAGCGTGGCTCTACTGTACACCTGCAGGGTGGCTCTACTGTACACCTGCAGCGTGGCTCTACTGTACACCTGCAGGGTGGCTCTACTGTACTCCTGCAGCGTGGCTCTACTGTACACCTGCAGCGTGGCTCTACTGTACACCTGCAGGGTGGCTCTACTGTATACCTGCAGCGTGGCTCTACTGTACACCTGCAGGGTGGCTCTACTGTACACCTGCAGCGTGGCTCTACTGTACACCTGCAGCGTGGCTCTACTATACACCTGCAGCGTGGCTCTACTATACACCTGCAGCGTGGCTCTACTATACACCTGCAGCGTGGCTCTTACACACCTGCAGCGTGGCTCTACTATACACCTGCAGCGTGGCTCTACTGTACACCTGCAGCGTGGCTCTACTGTACACCTGCAGCGTGGCTCTACTGTACACCTGCAGCGTGGCTCTACTGTACACCTGCAGCGTGGCTCTACTATACACCTGCAGCATGGCTCTACTGTACACCTGCAGCGTGGCTCTACTATACACCTGCAGCGTGGCTCTACTATACACCTGCAGCGTGCTCTACTGTACACCTGCAGCGTGGCTCTACTGTACACCTGCAGCGTGGCTCTACTGTACACCTGCAGCGTGGCTCTACTGTACACCTGCAGCGTGGCTCTACTGTACACCTGCAGCGTGGCTCTACTGTACACCTGCAGCGTGGCTCTACTATACACCTGCAGCGTGGCTCTACTATACACCTGCAGCGTGGCTCTACTATACACCTGCAGCGTGGCTCTACTATACACCTGCAGCGTGGCTCTACTATACACCTGCAGCGTGGCTCTACTATACACCTGCAGCGTGGCTCTACTATACACCTGCAGCGTGGCTCTACTATACACCTGCAGTGTGGCTCTACTATACACCTGCAGCGTGGCTCTACTATACACCTGCAGCGTGCTCTACTGTATACCTGCAGCGTGGCTCTACTGTACACCTGCAGCGTGGCTCTACTGTACACCTGCAGCGTGGCTCTACTGTACACCTGCAGCGTGGCTCTACTATACACCTGCAGCGTGGCTCTACTATACACCTGCAGCGTGGCTCTACTATACACCTGCAGCATGGCTCTACTATACACCTGCAGCATGGCTCTACTTACACCGAGCTATACACCTGCAGCGTGGCTCTACTATACACCTGCAGCATGGCTCTACTATACACCTGCAGCATGGCTCTACTATACACCTGCAGCATGGCTCTACTGTACACCTGCAGCGTGGCTCTACTGTACACCTGCAGCGTGGCTCTACTGTACACCTGCAGCGTGGCTCTACTATACACCTGCAGCGTGGCTCTACTGATACACCTGCAGCGTGGCTCTACTGTACACCTGCAGCGTGGCTCTTCTGTACACCTGCAGCGTGGCTCTACTGTACACCTGCAGGGTGGCTCTACTGTACACCTGCAGCGTGGCTCTACTGTACACCTGCAGCGTGGCTCTACTGTACACCTGCAGGGTGGCTCTACTGCACACCTGCAGCGTGGCTCTACTGTACACCTGCAGCGTGGCTCTACTGTACACCTGCAGCGTGGCTCTACTGTACACCTGCAGGGTGGCTCTACTGTACACCTGCAGCGTGGCTCTACTGTACACCTGCAGCGTGGCTCTACTGTACACCTGCAGGGTGGCTCTACTGTACACCTGCAGCGTGGCTCTACTGTACACCTGCAGGGTGGCTCTACTGTACACCTGCAGCGTGGCTCTACTGTACACCTGCAGGGTGGCTCTACTGTACACCTGCAGCGTGGCTCTACTGTACACCTGCAGGGTGGCTCTACTGTACACCTGCAGGGTGGCTCTACTGTACACCTGCAGCGTGGCTCTACTGTACACCTGCAGGGTGGCTCTACGTACACCTGCGGCGTGGCTCTACTGTACACCTGCAGCGTGGCTCTACTGTACACCTGCAGGGTGGCTCTACTGTACACCTGCAGCGTGGCTCTACTGTACACCTGCAGGGTGGCTCTACTGTACACCTGCAGCGTGGCTCTACTGTACACCTGCAGGGTGGCTCAGTACACCTGCAGCGCACCGGTGGCTCTACTGTACACCTGCAGGGCAACACCCGCAGCGGTGGCTCTACTGTACACCTGCAGGGTGGCTCTACTGTACTCCCGCAGCGTGGCTCTACTGTACACCTGCAGCGTGGCTCTACTGTACACCTGCAGGGTGGCTCTACTGTATACCTGCAGCGTGGCTCTCTGTACACCTGCAGGGTGGCTCTACTGTACACCTGCAGCGTGGCTCTACTGTACACCTGCAGCGTGGCTCTACTATACACCTGCAGCGTGGCTCTACTATACACCTGCAGCGTGGCTCTACTATACACCTGCAGCGTGGCTCTACTATACACCTGCAGCATGGCTCTACTATACACCTGCAGCATGGCTCTACTGTACACCTGCAGCGTGGCTCTACTGTACACCTGCAGCGTGGCTCTACTGTACACCTGCAGCGTGGCTCTACTATACACCTGCAGCGTGGCTCTACTATACACCTGCAGCATGGCTCTACTGTACACCTGCAGCGTGGCTCTACTATACACCTGCAGCGTGGCTCTTACTATACACCTGCAGTGTGGCTCTACTATACACCTGCAGCGCGGCTCTACTATACACCTGCAGCGTGCTCTACTGTATACCCGCAGCGTGGCTCTACTGTACACCTGCAGCGTGGCTCTACTGTACACCTGCAGCGTGGCTCTACTATACACCTGCAGCGTGGCTCTACTATACACCTGCAGCGTGGCTCTACTATACACCTGCAGCGTGGCTCTACTATACACCTGCAGCGTGGCTCTACTATACACCTGCAGCGTGGCTCTACTATACACCTGCAGCGTGGCTCTACTATACACCTGCAGCGTGGCTCTACTATACACCTGCAGCGTGGCTCTACTATACACCTGCAGCGTGGCTCTACTATACACCTGCATGTGGCTCTACTATACACCTGCAGCGTGGCTCTACTATACACCTGCAGCGTGCTCTACTGTATACCTGCAGCGTGGCTCTACTGTACACCTGCAGGGTGGCTCTACTGTACACCTGCAGCGTGGCTCTACTGTACACCTGCAGCGTGGCTCTACTATACACCTGCAGCGTGGCTCTACTATACACCTGCAGCGTGGCTCTACTATACACCTGCAGCATGGCTCTACTATACACCTGCAGCGTGGCTCTACTATACACCTGCAGCGTGGCTCTACTATACACCTGCAGCGTGGCTCTACTATACACCTGCAGCATGGCTCTACTATACACCTGCAGCATGGCTCTACTATACACCTGCAGCATGGCTCTACTGTACACCTGCAGCGTGGCTCTACTGTACACCTGCAGCGTGGCTCTACTGTACACCTGCAGCGTGGCTCTACTATACACCTGCAGCGTGGCTCTACTATACACCTGCAGCGTGGCTCTACTGTACACCTGCAGCGTGGCTCTACTATACACCTGCAGCGTGGCTCTACTATACACCTGCAGCATGGCTCTACTATACACCTGCAGCGTGGCTCTACTATACACCTGCAGCGTGGCTCTACTATACACCTGCAGCGTGGCTCTACTATACACCTGCAGCGTGACTCTACTGTATACCTGCAGCGTGGCTCTACTGTACACCTGCAGCGTGGCTCTACTGTACACCTGCAGCGTGGCTCTACTGTACACCTGCAGCGTGGCTCTACTATACACCTGCAATGTGGCTCTACCACGTGTAAAGTCATTGCTTAATAACATTGAAGTGACAAATGAGCCAACATTCCACCTGATGTAAGTAATTATTGAAGGCAATGAATATCTGCACACCATTCAAAACGTTGCGTTGCTCTACAATACACCTGCAGCGTGGCTCTACTGTACTCCTGCAGCGTGGCTCTACAATACACCTGCAGTGTGGCTCTACTGTACTCCTGCAGCGTGGCTCTACAATACACCTGCAGCGTGGCTCTACTGTACTCCTGCAGCGTGGCTCTACAATACACCTGCAGCGTGGCTCTACTATACACCTGCAACGTGGCTCTACTGTACACCTGCAGCGTGGCTCTACCACTGTAAAGTCATTGCTTAATAACTTGAAGACATGAGCCAACATTCCACCTGAGTAAGTAATTATTGAAGGCAATATATCTCACACCATTCAAAACGTTGCGTTGCTCTACTATACACCTGCAGCGTGGCTCTACTATACTCCTGCAGCGTGGCTCTACAATACACCTGCAGCGTGGCTCTACTGTACTACCTGCAGCGTGGCTCTACTGTACACCTGCAGCGTGGCTCTACTGTACTCCTGCAGCGTGGCTCTACAATACACCTGCAGCGTGGCTCTACTGTACTCCTGCAGCGTGGCTCTACTATACACCTGCAGCGTGGCTCTACTGTACTCCTGCAGCGTGGCTCTACTATACACCTGCAGAGTGGCTCTACTGTACTCCTGCAGCGTGGCTCTACTATACACCTGCAGCGTGGCTCTACTGTACACCTGCAGCGTGGCTCTACTGTACACCTGCAGCGTGGCTCTACCAAGTATAAAGTCATTGCTTAATAACATTGAAGTGACAAATGAGCCAACATTCCACCTGATGTAAGTAATTATTGAAGGCAATGAATATCTGCACACCATTCAAAACGTTGCGTTGCTCTACAATACACCTGCAGCGTCGCTCTACTATACACCTGCAGCGTAGCTCTACTGTACACCTGCAGCGTGGCTCTACCACGTGTAAAGTCATTGCTTAATAACATTGAAGTGACAAATGAGCCAACATTCCACCTGATGTAAGTAATTATTGAAGGCAATGAATATCTGCAAACCATTCAAAACGTTGCGTTGCTCTACAATACACCTGCAGTGTGGCTCTACTGTACTCCTGCAGCGTGGCTCTACAATACACCTGCAGTGTGGCTCTACTGTACTCCTGCAGCGTGGCTCTACAATACACCTGCAGCGTGGCTCTACTGTACACCTGCAGCGTGGCTCTACAATACACCTGCAGCGTGGCTCTACTGTACACCTGCAGCGTGGCTCTACTGTACACCTGCAGCGTGGCTCTACTATACACCTGCAGCGTGGCTCTACTATACACCTGCAGCGTGGCTCTACTATACACCTGCAGCGTGGCTCTACTATACACCTGCAGCGTGGCTCTACTATACTCCTGCAGCGTGGCTCTACTTTACACCTGCAGCGTGGCTCTACTATACACCTGCAGCGTGGCTCTACTATACACCTGCAGCGTGGCTCTACTGTACACCTGCAGCGTGGCTCTACTATACACCTGCAGCGTGGCTCTACTATACACCTGCAACGTGGCTCTACTATACACCTGCAGCGTCGCTCTACTATACACCTGCAGCGTAGCTCTACTGTACACCTGCAGCGTGGCTCTACCACTTATTTCTTATAACATGAAGTGACAAATGAGCCAACATTCCACCTAAGGCAAAATATCTGCACACCATTCAAAACGTTGCGTGGCTCTACTATACACCTGCAGCGTGGCTCTACTGTACTCCTGCAGCGTGGCTCTACTATACACCTGCAGCGTGGCTCTACTGTACTCCTGCAGCGTGGCTCTACTATACACCTGCAGCGTGGCTCTACTGTACACCTGCAGCGTGGCTCTACTTTACACCTGCAGCGTGCCTCTACTCTACACCTGCAGCGTGGCTCTACTATACACCTGCAGCGTGGCTCTACTATACACCTGCAGCGTGGCTCTACTGTACACCTGCAGCGTGGCTCTACCACGTGTAAAGTCATTGTTTAATAACATTGAAGTGACAAATGAGCCAACATTCCACCTGATGTAAGTAATTATTGAAGGCAAGATTATAATTATAATATATTGTTACGAATGAGGTACAGTCGATCGCAGATCTCACTGGTAGGATCGTTATCAAGTTCTGTATTATAAAAAAATATAACAACTATTATTATAACTGGTTTTATTATCTCATCATTACCAACAGCCCTTCACAAGTCAACTACTGAACATAGGCCTCCCCCAAGGAATGTCACAAAGCACGATCCTAAATCACATACATCCATCGACTTCCTGGAAACCTTTTCGCTTACCGGTACAAGGCTGCCACTCGAGAACCCTTTTTCCTATCGGTTGTCAGTCTTCGATCTATATGGCCGGCCCATGGCTACTTCAGCCTTTGAATCTGTTGGTCTATATCGGTTACTCTGATTCTACTGCGAATATCCTCATACACAATAAATTGAAAGTGAAAATACTTGATCAGCACTTGCAAGTCCTATAGCTGATACCGTTAAAATTGATATTAAAAAATTAAAATTTTTCATTGCATTGATTTTATTTATGTGTGTTATTTCTTTTGTTTTGTAACCAATGGCTTCATCTGGATAAGTTCTATTAAGGTCGCGTCATTTAGATTTAAGTTAAGAGCGACAGTAGCCTAATGGCAGGACCCGGATCGCGAACTCAAAAAGGTCGTGGGTTTGAATCCGCCATTCGACTACTGGCGTGAACCACTCGTAACACAAGCAATTTAAGCTTACCACGAGTGGTTAAGGGGAATACTAGTAATGTTTATAGCACTGTTAATATTCTTTTTTAAAAAATGAAAGATTTTATTAAAAAAATGGAAACTTAAGTTTCCATTTTTTTAATAAAATCTTAAAGTTTTCTGGATAAAATATAGCGGAGATCCCTTCTCACATTGATCACTAACTGCTCGTAAAGTTTCATTACAATCGATCAGCCGTTCCGTAGGTTCGCACGAACAAACAGACAGACAAAAATTATCATTTATATCAAAATAGCATGCAAATAACCGCCAGAGTTTAACAGATGCCAGTTATTACAATAATTGAGATACATAGATATAAATAAAATTGTATTATGATTTAAAAAAATAACCCAGTTTCTAGCTGGTTCTTTTCAGATCTTTTCAAAACAAGACCGTTTTCATGAAGTAAATTATAGGTTTATAAGAGTTTTCAGCAAGTCATAACTAAGTAAAACCCAACTACTTATTAGTGCTGGGAATTGTAGTCTTTATTCGAATCCGTCTAAGTCATTGCGTATAATGCAGGAAGCGCGTCTAATTATATTATAATTTATAGCTCGGTTCTAGCGGATCGGATGGCGACTTAACTTTAAGCAAATATTTGTAGTGGATACAGGAATGAAATATTTTAGTGTAAATTAAGAAGTATTAAATCAGTGGCACAGGTAAATAGGGGCCGGGGCAGTCATGGCCCCGGGTGGCAGATTTTAGAAGAGTTACTTTGGAAGCACACAATTCAAATTGTGTCAACACACTCTGTACCAGCTCCGTGCAGCCAGCAAAAAGGGCGGTGGTAGTTCAGGGACTTAGCTGCAAAATGTAAAAAAATCGAAGACATGTAAAGTACGCAAACACGCACGGAGGCAGCGCGGTACATATTTACTTTCCCTAAAACCCTCTCAGGAATGATAGGAGGCCTAGAGACACCAGCAGGATCACTGCTTATTGCTGTATTATGTACGTAGGCTGTAACAAAAAGTTTCTGTTTATTTCGCGTCATTTGTAACTCGTAAGTAACAAATAAAGTTTCTTTCTTTATTCTTCTTTAATAAAATGAAACAGGATTAAAGTTATGATGACGTCATCTGAACCGTATTAGAGAATCCGTAATGTAATTATTAGAATTTCGGCCGTAGTAATTTAATGGATTTTCCAATAAAATATATACAAAAATTATTTGCATAATTTACTTTAAAAGAAAATTTTCTCATTTCGCACGTCACACCATACACCTCAAAGTAAAACCAGAAGGTGGCCCTCCATACGACGCCGTGACGATTGGCGTTTGTTTTATAAACTGTCCGTTTGCTTTAATAACTGATTATGTTGTCTTCTACGTCCACATCACTGTAGCTATTACAATCTACACTCGATGTATTTCAAACAATCATTTTGTTTAACCATGGGTTAGATACAGGCAATTACGTCCGCGGTGTTAACTGAAACTTGAAATGTTATCCAAAATTAAGCATTTTCTTGTACAACTTTTAGAGTTTGACTTTTTTATTAGCTTTATGGTTTTTACACTTAGAGTACACTAATCGTTAGACTATCTTTATTTGTATTCTCAATTAAATATAAAAAATTTAAGGCAATTTATTACGATTTAAAAATCCTTATACCGATGTACTTAACTCCTAATTTTAAGTATACGATAAGTATAAGAAAAAAAGTTAGAAGAAATTAAAATGAACTCTTTGAAGCAAGATAGAAAGCGTACTTTGTGGTACAATAAAGATAAGGTTCAATCCGACAGAAGTCCACTGCTGTACAACAGTCTTCCTATTCCCATAGACTTGTACCTTTGACAATACTGGCAACTTAGTCAGCCCCACGAGTCAGCCCTTTTTATCTACCCTCATCATGAAGAACTACTAAGAAATTGAGATCTGAACTGTGTGAGAATATTGAATTGAAGCTAAATAAGCTATAGTTTTAGCACTAATAGCAGAATTTAAGAAAAAGCAGGACCGCGACCCTGAATGAGTGTCTTTACCTCAACAGAAAAGAAATTTGCAAACATCGGCTGGCGAAGAGATTTATGAGTTTTAAGAGTTTTAATTAACAAGATACGGCGTTTAGTATTGCGTACGATCTGTTTGCATCGATTCACACTTAACGTAAACACTTTTTTTCCGTTCGTTTCCTTCTTCCTAAACAGAATGAAAAGTATACAATTTTATGCCTTCAAAGTT